GTGTCTGGTCAAAACCCCGAGCCCCTTTCACGTTGTCCATCAAACGGGAATCTTGCTTAAAAAGCTGCGCATGGGTTGAAAATATTAACAACCGAAGCAAGTGTTATTCAAGTATGGATCCCGCTTCATTGGGCTTGATTTTTGGCACGGACAAATGAATGCCGGTTATGTCTCTGATGGGCCAATTGCGCGGAAATCCCTGTTTGAAAGGGGCAACTCTATCTTTCCACCTTTGTAGATAACGGGAATTACCCTTGGCTTTGCCAAGAGAATCCAGGTGAACATGAGGTACGGACCCTCCAAGATCATCACGTAAGTTGCATTTTTGTACGTTTGGGCTTTGGCGTTTTGCGGCCATCGGTATGTACCCGCTCTTGCTATCGATGTTCTGCTTGTGCGTAGGGTGTTGAAGAAAATCAACGAAAGCATCATTTTCCCTTTGGTCTGGATGAACGAGGTAACGACACCGATGCCGCCGCACGCAATCTTTTGGGCTTTTTCTCAACGCGTCCGACGTTTTGGTTTCAGACGGCGCAACTGGACGACGATTCTGCGAGCCTGCTCAAGGAGGAGCTGGTGGACCGGATCAAGATGCTGGACGTAGTCCAGAAGGTCCTGCTGGGCGCGGGCCTGGCCGTCTTCGCCCTTTGCCTCATTTCGTACATCGCCGTTCGGTGCAACGATGAGTCGGAAACCGTTTGATGCTGCTCTTTTGATACGGACTTATTATTTACAATGTCCCCCGTCACTTTGATAGTCATACTGTGATTTTTGTAAAGGGTAAAACTTGACTTTGAGTCGTGTCACTTTAATTCAAACAATCAGGGATTCGGGGCCTTCAAGTGCAATCCGAGAAGCCATTTCAAGGCTACGTGATGTCCGACATAATAATTCTGTTGATTTGTGTTTATAAGTTTTGTTGCTTCAAAGGAATAAAAGCAAAAGTATCGCTTTGTTCCCTTTTACCATAAGCGCTATGCTATGAGCGGGATATGGCTTTATTGAGTCGAAATGCCTGGGAAAGAATAACAAAAAAAGATTTCTTTGACTTATCCTGTGTGAATTGTGCGAGAGAACGCGTACTCAGCAAAGTGTCAGACGGCAGATCGATGGCTGACGCTACGACGTGACCAGAAAGAACACCAAAGTGCATTCATATTCAAAAGCAAGACTTTTTATACTGCACACCAACACTGAAAAATATCACTCAGGAAACGGAAGCTAGCTATCAGTAGCTTAGTTAGCATCAAACAAACGCCACTGGAAGTGTTATTCTGAACGACTCAATGACAAATGAAGGTCATTATTGAGACTGTGTGAAAAGGCCTCAAATAATTTCAATGTAAACTTTGCGGTTTTGTTGCTAACGCCCGTTAACTAGCGCAAAGCTAACAAAATTACAACCAAGGACAAGAATTGAAATCTTTCTTTAGAAACCAGTTTTTTTAAGACGCGGTACTGTGGCGTTAGCGTGTTAGCTTAGCTTCGAAGCTCACAGAGATGCAATCTCAGCTAAACACATTTATTCAGGACATCAGTTCCACGAATAAATAGAAAGGGTTGCTTACATGGTGCTTGAAACGCCACGTCCCTAGCGACATTAACTGATGATCTGCAAAAAATAAAATAAAATAAAAATCACATTCAAATCAAGTGTCTGCGAATTGCAGATACCGTCATATTGTATTTACACAGAAGAAGAGCGCGTATTCACATTAAATAAGAGAACGTAATCTTTATCTACATGATGTATTCACAACGCGGCGGACATTTTCCGGTTTTGTGCGGATTAAAGCACAGTTGAGGAGAACCCGCGACCGAAGCGGTTCTCAAACTGGGGTCCTCGGACCACCTGGGAGTCTGCAAAAGAATTTGCAATAAATTATTACCGGATATCCTATCACTGATAAAAGTGAATGCTTACATATTGGAAGTGGACACTAACGACTTGGAAATGATGATTTGGCACCATTTTTTTCCCCAGAGAGTCAAGCATGCATCCATCCTTTTGCGCCTTTTGATCCCTTCAAGCGTGTCCCTTTCATCACGACACGGCATAAAAAAGGTTCCAGGCCCTGTTTTGCTGGTGGCCGGTGCTCCGGCTACATCCCGGCCGGCCGTCTGTCATTCCCTTAGTCCTCCGGGAGGTGATTCCGCCTGTTGCGGCTCTTCCTGCGATCCAGCAGGGGCTTGAGCTTGGCCAAGTCCCCCCTGAGCGGCCCCGGCGGCGGGTGCGCAACGCTCTTCTGCTTCTCCTGGAGCTCCTTCCTTTCCTTCCTCTCCTTGCAGTACTGCTGCACGGCCAGATTCTCGGCCGGGCTGAAGGCCTCCAGCAGCGCCTTGGGGTGCGCCGCCGCCGCCGACCAGGGCCACGCCGAGCGGCCCCTTTCGGTCAGTGCCCCGGCAGCGGCGGCGCTCAGCACCCGCAGGCGGATCTTGGCCACGGTGCGCTTGAAACCGTTCTCGGTGGTCAGGCAGTAGTAGAGGCCTTGGTCAGAGAGCTGGGCCGAGCGGATGAGCAGGCCGTGCTCCGTGGACAGCACGCGCTCGCTCAGCTTCACCTGAGGTTCACACGGACAGCCAGGAAGAAAACAGAGTTGGCCTTTAAGGAGGTATCAGCACGGCCGATGCAAATCTGTTTCTAATCAGATCAGTCCGCTTATAAAAAAAGTGCCCTTCTGTCCTTTGTGCGCATCATCTTTGTTTTTGTGCATGTCAGGGGGCGTATTCGAAGCTTCCAATTGTGCTGCATCCTGTCCTGGAGCGCATGATCAAGAGCAGCAACTCGTCCTTGTTCCAGCAGCGCAGCGTCAGGGAGCTGCTGTGGGGATACAAAGACCCCATGTTGAAAGCCACCGTGGGCCTTTTTGCACCCGTGGGTCACTCCGACATAATATTCATTTTAGTCGTACTTTAGTTTGGACCACTTTTAGCATTCCGGTTAGACCGAGCGAGATATTTCTTGAAGCGTTTTTGCCGGCCGTCACGATGAGCTGAAATCTTCCCCCGGTCCTCCAGTACAACGCCACCTTTGACGGCTACTACACCGTCTACACCGGCGAGGGTGACATCGGCAAAGTGGGCACGATCGACAAGTGGCGAGGATCCAGGTGAACGTGGACAAATATCGACGAGACGACGATAACAGTCTTCAAGGAGCTTCCTGTTCTCTTGTTTTCAGGAGCCTGCCCTTCTGGGACGACAAGTACTGCAACATGATCAACGGGACAGGTGAGGGTCTCGGGGTGTGGGGGGTGCAAAACAAAATGGCTTTGCCCGCCTTCTAACTGGACTCCACTTCCATTTTCCCAGATGGTTCTAATTTTGCTCCCTTTGTGGATGCGACAAAGCCCATCTACTTCTTTTCCTCCGACATCTGCAGGTGATTTAAGTCCCCCTGCAACCCTCTCAGTGGCCACTAGAGGTCACCTGTGTGTCCCGCAGGTCGGTGTCGGCCAACTTTGAGCATTCCGTGGAGCTGAAGGAGATCCCGGTGTACCGCTTCGGACTGCTGCCGTCCACCTTAGCCTCGCCGGTGGACAACCCCGACAACCACTGCTACTGTCGGGATCCCAAGACCACCAAGAACTGCACCATGGCAGGAGTGCTGGACATAAGTTCCTGTCAGGACGGTCAGTCCGGACAATTGGACCGTTTCTTTAGCCAGGTTCTCATCCGTCTGTCTGGGTTTTTCTTCGCAGGACAGCCCATCTACATCTCCTTGCCACACTTCCTTCATGGTACGCCGTCCCTGCATCAGGCTATTAAGGGGCTCAACCCGAGCGAGGAGCACCATAAGACCTACCTAGACGTGGAACCTGTAAGATTTTGACTTGTATCCTATTCACATTTGATTGGACCGTTTCTTTAGCCAGGTTCTCATCCGTCTGTCTGGGTTTTTCTTCGCAGGACAGCCCATCTACATCTCCTTGCCACACTTCCTTCATGGTACGCCGTCCCTGCATCAGGCTATTAAGGGGCTCAACCCGAGCGAGGAGCACCATAAGACCTACCTAGACGTGGAACCTGTAAGATTTTGACTTGTATCCTATTGAAAATATTAACAACCGAAGCAAGTGTTATTCAAGTATGGATCCCGCTTCATTGGGCTTGATTTTTGGCACGGACAAATGAATGCCGGTTATGTCTCTGATGGTCCAATTGCGCGGAAATCCCTGTTTGAAAGGGGCAACTCTATCTTTCCACCTTTGTAGATAACGGGAATTACCCTTGGCTTTGCCAAGAGAATCCAGGTGAACATGAGGTACGGACCCTCCAAGATCATCACGTAAGTTGCATTTTTGTACGTTTGGGCTTTGGCGTTTTGCGGCCATCGGTATGTACCCGCTCTTGCTATCGATGTTCTGCTTGTGCGTAGGGTGTTGAAGAAAATCAACGAAAGCATCATTTTCCCTTTGGTCTGGATGAACGAGGTAACGACACCGATGCCGCCGCACGCAATCTTTTGGGCTTTTTCTCAACGCGTCCGACGTTTTGGTTTCAGACGGCGCAACTGGACGACGATTCTGCGAGCCTGCTCAAGGAGGAGCTGGTGGACCGGATCAAGATGCTGGACGTAGTCCAGAAGGTCCTGCTGGGCGCGGGCCTGGCCGTCTTCGCCCTTTGCCTCATTTCGTACATCGCCGTTCGGTGCAACGATGAGTCGGAAACCGTTTGATGCTGCTCTTTTGATACGGACTTATTATTTACAATGTCCCCCGTCACTTTGATAGTCATACTGTGATTTTTGTAAAGGGTAAAACTTGACTTTGAGTCGTGTCACTTTAATTCAAACAATCAGGGATTCGGGGCCTTCAAGTGCAATCCGAGAAGCCATTTCAAGGCTACGTGATGTCCGACATAATAATTCTGTTGATTTGTGTTTATAAGTTTTGTTGCTTCAAAGGAATAAAAGCAAAAGTATCGCTTTGTTCCCTTTTACCATAAGCGCTATGCTATGAGCGGGATATGGCTTTATTGAGTCGAAATGCCTGGGAAAGAATAACAAAAAAAGATTTCTTTGACTTATCCTGTGTGAATTGTGCGAGAGAACGCGTACTCAGCAAAGTGTCAGACGGCAGATCGATGGCTGACGCTACGACGTGACCAGAAAGAACACCAAAGTGCATTCATATTCAAAAGCAAGACTTTTTATACTGCACACCAACACTGAAAAATATCACTCAGGAAACGGAAGCTAGCTATCAGTAGCTTAGTTAGCATCAAACAAACGCCACTGGAAGTGTTATTCTGAACGACTCAATGACAAATGAAGGTCATTATTGAGACTGTGTGAAAAGGCCTCAAATAATTTCAATGTAAACTTTGCGGTTTTGTTGCTAACGCCCGTTAACTAGCGCAAAGCTAACAAAATTACAACCAAGGACAAGAATTGAAATCTTTCTTTAGAAACCAGTTTTTTTAAGACGCGGTACTGTGGCGTTAGCGTGTTAGCTTAGCTTCGAAGCTCACAGAGATGCAATCTCAGCTAAACACATTTATTCAGGACATCAGTTCCACGAATAAATAGAAAGGGTTGCTTACATGGTGCTTGAAACGCCACGTCCCTAGCGACATTAACTGATGATCTGCAAAAAATAAAATAAAATAAAAATCACATTCAAATCAAGTGTCTGCGAATTGCAGATACCGTCATATTGTATTTACACAGAAGAAGAGCGCGTATTCACATTAAATAAGAGAACGTAATCTTTATCTACATGATGTATTCACAACGCGGCGGACATTTTCCGGTTTTGTGCGGATTAAAGCACAGTTGAGGAGAACCCGCGACCGAAGCGGTTCTCAAACTGGGGTCCTCGGACCACCTGGGAGTCTGCAAAAGAATTTGCAATAAATTATTACCGGATATCCTATCACTGATAAAAGTGAATGCTTACATATTGGAAGTGGACACTAACGACTTGGAAATGATGATTTGGCACCATTTTTTTCCCCAGAGAGTCAAGCATGCATCCATCCTTTTGCGCCTTTTGATCCCTTCAAGCGTGTCCCTTTCATCACGACACGGCATAAAAAAGGTTCCAGGCCCTGTTTTGCTGGTGGCCGGCGCTCCGGCTACATCCCGGCCGGCCGTCTGTCATTCCCTTAGTCCTCCGGGAGGTGATTCCGCCTGTTGCGGCTCTTCCTGCGATCCAGCAGGGGCTTGAGCTTGGCCAAGTCCCCCCTGAGCGGCCCCGGCGGCGGGTGCGCAACGCTCTTCTGCTTCTCCTGGAGCTCCTTCCTTTCCTTCCTCTCCTTGCAGTACTGCTGC